GAGAAGAGAGGTAGATAGAGGGAAAGGGAATACACAAATCCCTGTTTTATCAGTTAAAGATCTCATTACTTACGCAAGTGAACCAGGTGAAAATGTATCAGTATGATCATGCCATGTGCAAAACGGAGCAAAGTCTACCCTTCACATTGCTATAAATTTAAGTAGCTCTACAGGAGGCAAAAGGATGCCAGAGTGTGTCACCTTTGCATGCAACCCTGCTTAAAGTGGTGACCAGTCAGCCACTTCCCTTTATCTCTGAAAATGTCCCACTGTTTTAAACCTCTGTGGTATTATAATACAGTATTTTTCCAATGGTATAGTGTGTGAAAGTGCTGCATTGTATCCTTTTGAACACTGACATGAAAATTTCATACATTTCTTTGAACCAAATCAAAATGCTTTTTAAGACAACACTAAAACAGTTGTTGAGTTGCACAAGAGACCAGGTCTTTGGCCTCATGTTAATAAATAGAAGGAAATAAGATTTTTTTACATGCTAATGTTGTGTGGTCTTAACAAAAGCAGGATTTATTTTCTTTATGTTTTCTCCCAACAAATGTCTGTATGTGTGACATGACAGCACTTAGCTCTTTTGTGCACCAGGCAAAATCTTTACAGGAATTCTGGTGACTTACAAGTCCCCCTTTTTTCCTCTTATGGATGCAAAAATTGAATGTTTGCTATTTTGACTAATTGCCTTTTGCAAAAAATGTCAGCAATAGCAATCATAACTTTAAAATAGTAGGAAGCATCAAAAAGAGTCCTGAATGCTCATATTCATATAGATTAAAACATACTTTGTAGACAAAGCATGCTCATGCAGAATTTTTGCAAAATTTTTTTTTTCAAAATAAATATGGTGGACACATGCTTTCGTTTTGATTAAATTGCTACAAGTTGGCATGTAGATGAGGTGAGTACAGAGCTTAGAATTTACTTTTTTCAAAGGTGAATGCATTTAAAAAGAAATAGTGGGTGCCATTTGACTAAGAAGCTATGACTGAACTCACTACAGAGAAATGTGCCACTACAGCATAGGCCAGCTAAAGTTGTCCCACAAGCCCTTAAACACTGTAAAGTATGAGTTGGCCCCTTCTATCTCAAACCAAACTAGCCCTTCCAGCCTGTTTACTGCTGTCCAGCTAGTCACTCACTTGAGTGCTCTGCTCCAGTAAGTCAAACCATCCCAAAACCAGTCCTCATCCAGTTCTTATTAGAACTCGTTCCCAATCTTTCTGTAGCCAGCCTTCCCTTGATACAACAGGCTTTACACTTTGAGCTGGGTCTGGCTCCTTGGCCCTTCTTGCCCAGCTGGTCTGAGTTGGGCAGCAGTAGTTTGTGTTTGCTGAGTTCTGTTGTTGACCCAAGTACCTCATACAACTTGTGTGGCTACTCATGATAAATGTAATCAAGGTGACTTTTGCCAGACATTGAACTTCAAAAAAGCAAGAAGGAAGGCCATCTGGGCTCTAGTCAAAGACTGTGTTCTGCCACCCTTCCCAGCCGTGATGTGAAGTTTCACTCTCTGCAACACAGTTTAACAGTGGGCGCCAGGCTCAGCCACTCACCTAGGAAATGGAGTGATGGCAGCAGGGGCCTGAGCCCTGATTTCTCACATCCCCACAGCCATATTTATAATTGCTAATCAGTCCACTGGAAGATCTTTCTTGGTGTGGAATGTGAACTTTCTTTTTCTACATTCAAACATAATTCACACGACAGGATAACTGTTTCCTTTCCAGCTATGATCAATGCAGAGGGTACTGAAGGAAGGGAATACACTAAGGTAATTCCCCAGCTTGCCTGTGTGCTGGTTGGAGCCTAAGCATTACAGAGCTCAATCGCAAAGCTACGTTGTCTTAACTTAAGTAGATGTTTATTATAGCAAACATGATCTAACTAGATGTAGAAAATATTTAAGTAAAAATATGCCTGTGTTCAGTTCATTTAGATTGTACTGTCTACAACACGGGAGTTAACAGCATTCTGGATATTGTACTTTCTTCCTGTATGCAATATAGTAAGATAACTACATAAAACGAAGACTTGAGGTAATGTACTGCAGCGTGTCATGAAAAAGTGAAGCAGGTAGATGTGGTGAGAGATCCACTGTCTATTAAACAGGGAGGAGCCTTCCTGTCTTCTTGCCTACATTATGTCTTACAGCACAATTTATACACAGACATTTACAGAAGGATATGCTTTTACTGCAGGTTTCCCTTTAGGGCTACCTTTGCTGTCCTACCCTTATGAAGGTAATGATTGTTGAGCTTTAGCTGTTCTTTAAATCATGTAGTATTTACCTATTTTTAATTACTTTGGTCATTTACGTTTATTTACACTTCTTCCTCAGCTTCACTAGTTTTATATGTCGTTTTACAGCTATAACACCTGAACTGTATTTTATAGCTGTATGCCAGATAGGAATACTTGTCCGCCTTCATCTGTGGGTAGGTGGCCATTGTTCAGTTTGAGAACTTACTGGCTCCTCTGATAAAATATTTTATTACATTGCTACCCCCAGAAGGGGAGGAGCTGTGGGGCAGCTGGATGGCGTACTGTGACAAATGTTCAGATTTTCAAAACTGTTTAATAAAAATGCAAAGCCTGCAGTTTAAAGAACATATGAGCAAAAAGGTTAAATGAATCTTAAATCCACAAGGTTAAGTTGCCCTTAAGTGAATTTATTTGTATTTATAAAAATGCATAAAGCAAGCTGCACAAGGTTCCTGGAATAAACAATATTCCCTGTGGTTTGAATTTCTGAGTAGGTTATATTTGCTCGCTAAATGCTTTCAGCTAAACAGAACGGCTACATCCCAGGACTGCACCTTTGGACTGCCTTGGGTTACTGTAGTGTCAGAATAGATGCACAAATGGCCACTGTCAAGGTTTTTGAGGTCAAAGCCTGAAGTGAGGGGAATTTGATCATTATGGGAGCAATTTTTTTTTCTCCAGATGAATGGCACCCATCCTCGTAAGTATTAATGATAGTTCAAGTACAAAATCTCAGGAAGATAATTTTCTATATTTAGAATGAAATTCACAAGGTACAAGGAACTCCGGTGCAGCTGAGGACCTTTTCATGTACACGAAGCAATGAGACAGACAAGATTTTCATCCAGGATTCCTCCTGCTGTAGGCTGCCGCAGCACTATTTATGGAGGTTTCATGGGCAGTCTTTGCAAGGAAAAGGGAGCCCGTGTAGCACCGGGTGAGCAGAGCAGTATTCACTGGCCAGTTTTTCTTCTTTGCAAGTGAATGTCCAGCCAGGGAGCACTGAGGTGTGGGACTGGGGAAAAGCAGGGTAGTCAAGCACTTCTGCTGTCTGGTCATTCTCAGCTGCTGGAGTGGCCCTTTGGACACCATGCAGTCAGCACGTGCAAGATCTGTGTTGGAAGTTGGTCAGATCCATGGCAGAGCATAAGATTTGGGAGGTCACGGAAGTGGAGTACAGCCATTTTCCTTAAACATCCTCTCTTAAATAGCAATAATCTCTTAAATAGCAATAATTCAGAAATGAATTAGTGTCAGTCAGAGACTGAAACTGCTTCCCTCAGTGGGGCTGGTGGGACTTAGGCACGAGAGATCAAACTCTTAACTCCTGCTGGATGCAATCGGAAAGTTCTCAGTCTCTTGCAGTTCCTAGTTCTAGGTCTGTGCCAGAATAATCCTTCTGGTTTTTCCAGATTGCTAAGAATTTGCACCCATCAACCATAATTTCCAAATCTGGCTATGGTAAACATTCCATGAATAAACAATACCTAAAAACTACTCCCCAGAATGTTAAAGAGCAGTGCTTTTCTATGTGCAGATGCCAAACTTGAGTAATTACATCCTCAGACTGTGTACAATTAGGACAGTAAAAAGGTATGCACATAAATGTTGTAAGCAGTAATAGCTGTTCACTCCTCTTTATCAAGTCCTGGAATTCCGGTTGCTATATTTGCATTTTTCTGATTACTTCCAAGCCCCTCTACAAAACCCATACAATTACTGCTCTTACTCTTGTTTTTCTTCCTGCTTTATTCTGAGCCCGGCTTTATACTTCCTGTCCTAATAAGATGTGGAACGGCACTGAATCAAACATGTAACATTTCATTTAAATGACCTGAAGACGGGTTTATCTGTTTCTCCAGGTGGCCTAATAGAGACCTTTCATCACTTAGATGTTTATCACAGCTGTAACCACACTATTTCTCCAGTCTTCAGTATAAGATCTGTTGTAAGTCATACATTAATTTCCATTAACATCCATGGATGTTGATTCCTTGGGATTGTTGTCTTCCAAGCTTATCATTGTATGTCAGAACGTACAGACACAGTTTAACCTAAAGGGCTGTTGATACTGACTCATCTTTATTCAAGCATTTCTTGCTCATGCTTGAATGTTTCAAGCACGTGCAGCTCTCCGCAGTTTCCGTAGTTTGTGGTGGTGTTCAGGATACACAAACATTACCTGAGCTAGTCCTAAATTTCATTGTCCCTTTTCTTATTTTTTCATTGTATTTGGAGCTTTCAGTGAGGACTAAGTATGAAAGTAGTAATACCTTGTAACTAAACACTGTAGAGTTGAAGAGCGTGTGTGCAACGTAGGTAGGAACCTTTGAGGTAGTTTTAAACGAGCTAACTGAGATACTGATAGGAATAAGAAATTTTCCATAGATTTGCTAAACCTTCTTTAATATTATCTGACAGCCACACTGTTCACATGCCTCTGCTGACCCTTAACTCTGTAATTCATTCATTCTCATGGAGAATGACGTTAACTTTTATTAAACTTCCCATCATCACTTGGATCAAATGAATGTTTTGACAGTCTGCTTCAGGTTTGGGCAGCAGAGAGATATAACTTCCTGGGCATGGGTTACAGCATGGCTGACATTCGCTGTTGAGGTTCTAAAGCAAAGCATCCATGTCACGAGAGCAAAACCTCTACTCAATTAGACAATTGAGTACTGACTGCATGCACTTAAGCAGTCTGAGGAAAATCTTTCTCCCTTTCAACTTGTTCAACTTGCCTACCTGTTGGTAAAACCTTTAAAAAGGAATGTCTGTGTAGCATCAAATGTTTTTGTTTCCAATTTCTCCTACGCACTGCTTCTAAGGCATGTGAATGTGTCGCAGCACTGACAGCACCTGTTCAGGTAGATATAACCGCAGGGCATGGGATGGCTGCAGAGCCATCAGCACAGTCCTTCGGTCCAGCTCCTTAGCTGTGCTAAGGACTAACGGGGACATAACCTTAAGCAAGTCTTGGTGTTTTTGCTTTGTCCATCTCTTACTCTGCTAGTAGGATAGGGATGATAGTGCCAACCTGACATTTCCAAAGTGCTTTGACAGCTACTGTTGTGAATGGTTTTCGTATCAATGTTGTAACATATGTATTTAAATGTTTATTAGATAGAAAGCATCAGTTTTCCTTTCACATATAAAGCACACCACCAGATCTTGCTAGAGATAGTTGAAGTCTTAAGGAAAAATAGGCTATAAGATATTTTACTATGGAGAGACTGGGCTTCAATAAAAACCTTTTCTTTGTAATGGACTCTAGAAGCAACATAATTGGCCCATTAAAAAGTGAATGATTTTACTCCTCCTTTATGCTTCATTGCCTACTGCAGAAAGGTGTAGGCCATCTGGAGAACAAGCACATCAAACTCACCATTTATCAGGCTTGGGTATTTAATTTGCCGTCCACCTTTAACTCTACTAAGTAAATGATTTCTGGAATTATCAGCAACTAATAAAAAAGCAAATTTTACTTTGTGCAGTGAGTTATCCAATACAAGCAACCACCACATCAGCTGTATTTCAGTAGCAGTGAACACAGTGCAGAAGGAAATCACAGGTTCACTTTCTGGTGAAACAAAGAAAGCTAAACCCATCAAACTTTTTTTACTTACTGTGTAATTTGGAGACAAAACTCAGAATTGCATTTTCAGCCCTCTGTGTAATTTTAAAAAGGAACGATGGAGGTCCAAGCTTAGAAGGCTGCTTGCTCCAACATGGTATTTCTGTCCCCTCAATTCTTTTGCATAGCTCATACGTATGTTGTACGAGCTGAGATGAAAAGCTGTTTTTTACTGAAACCCTTACCATTGTCAAAATGATGTTTTTTGAATGTAAGAGGAGTCTTCTTTGCAGAGCACATATGCAAGAAGTATACAAGTAATTTCAGTTGGAATAATTGTCATCTAGAATACGATAATGTTTTATGTGTTTGACAGTGATGAATTAAATAACGTAACAGCATACATAGTGATGAATTCTTAGGGGACAATAAAAAATCTTTAGGTATTATGAGAGCCTTTTCCTTGGGATTTTCCTAAAGCCCTCAATTTGGCTTCATTTTCTTTTTCCAGATTTTCATGCAGTCATGATCTTTGACACAATTTTTGAAAATGTCCTACAAACAAGGGGTTAGGTGTTTCTATTGAACTACACTGAATTTTAAGGGTTTTTTTTAAGGTATTGCTTCCAGCTTAGGCTCCTGTTGTGTTTAAAAATAAAACAGGGAAGATATGCCTCTACTCTGTCACAAATGGAAACTCAGATAACTCCAGGTGGCCCATTTGAAATGCAGCAGAGTAACAACAGCCCACATAAGAGCACAGTCAGGCCTGCTATACCTATTCAAATCAAAGAATGTAATTTATATTTAATACAGGTTACTGAAATAAATTTATTGCATCTAAATTTCATTGTTTAACATGAATTATCTGTACCCTGGCTTAGAAAAACACCATTGTTCTCTTAAGTGCAAAATGTTAAAAGATACTTGTTCATTCATTACATGAGAAGCAGTCTGCATTTCAGATAAGAAACTAAAATAATAAATGTAATCATTATCCAACTAGAATTTAAATTAACATTATTCATTCTGCCTCCTCTGTATATCCATGACCTTTACAAGCCTTTATTTATCACACATAACAAAAAACTTACACAGCTAATTTTGCAGGAGTCAACACTGATGTATTACTGATAGTTTCTCATTTTAAATTATTGTGCCACCTCCTTAATTAAAAAGATGTCTGATGTACATGGGAGAGTTTTTATTTTTATTGTGTAAAAGGGTTTCTGATGGTCATTAGAGAACAAAATACATTCTTCCTTCTAAGACTCAATCACACATAGTTAGCACATTGGGGTTATGGAGTTAAAAGTCACTTCATGTGAAAGAGGATTAGATCAGCAGAACACACTTCAGTAATTCATTGGGAGCTAGATCCTCATTCTACTCTCACACTATATTCATTTGTGAGTAAGGAGGTTTTTTCTCATGGACTGTCCTCTGAATACTTCTGTGATGGGATAAGGACAATCTAAAACCTCACTGGATAATGCAATATACCTGGGCACATGGTTCACGTGCCTAGACCTTGTGCTGTGACTTCATTCATCACTCTGTATGTGCCCCTATGACCCATCTCTATTGTAGGTGTTCTGCTGCCCTGCAACTCCCACCTACTTCATCACGAAGGAATTGCCATAGCCCCCTATTAACTTTTCCTATAGCTGAAGCTGAATGTAAGGTGATCATGCTCATTACACTGTACATTTGTGGTTCCTCAGCTCTGCAGAGTCAGTTCTGTGGTCTCAGAACCTATGAGCCTATGAACACTTAGCAGCCTTATATCTTAGCGCTGTCAGAATTGCATATAGATTTTTAACAAGCAAATATCCAAGACATTTGCCAGCCAATGTAATCCACAAGTCAGTGTCTAACTCTGAGTTTGGAGACTGCCAGAGGACAGCAGTTCCATTTTGTGTTAAAATCTTGATTTCGTTTCCATTAGAACAAAAATATTTTTTGCATGTTTGCAGAAAATTTTTGTAGAAATAGACTGGAAGTTGAGTATACTAAACTAGATTACACTGGATGCGATGGACATGGTCATGCTGTGTGGCCCAGTGGTACATGATTTGGCTTGAAACAGAACAGCCTCAGCGGGAGACCTTGGGGGAAACCTACACCATGATAATGTAGAGGACTAACCTCTGTATCAGAGGTCTAATGCTAGTTCCCTCATTTGGCACTTTAATGATTGACTTGAGTCAGAAAAAATATCATCCCCGCCCCCCAGGTCCCTGTTACGAGATGGTAGCCTTCCAGTAGCCATTACCTTCAGAGTTCTTTTCTAAATGTGGAGCATCAGCCCTTTTCAGAAGGAGAAGCCTGTGCCAGGCAGACTGCTGGGCTGTTCCAGCCTGACATTCATTATGTGGCATGTGTCCATGTGGTAGTCAGGACTCAAACAGATAAACCCATTCTCCTTCCCAGTCTGGTCATGGAAATGCCCCAAAGAGTTGCTTTCTTGAATTACTGCAAGCAGTAGAAGTGGCTATGCGGATTTTTTTGCTCTCTTGGCTGAAATTCTCTCCCGTTTTTGTAACAGCCTCCCATTCTGTGAAGAAATAAGCATTGCTATCTTCTGCTTTTTTACAGTTGCAGCCAAAGTAGAAGACTCTCGCCCAATGCAGAGACCCCCAAGGAGGCCACGGAAGCCTAAGACATTAAATAATCCAGAAGACTCCACCTACTACACTCTAATACATGTGAGTTTAGCAAGCTTTTGTGGGCTAAGACTGCCAGATAATTCCCACCTAAACTTTCTTTCTAATTGCCCGATTCCCTGTATTCCTTTCTAATACAACATAAAAGCTGTGCCCTGCTGAAAGGAGGCAGGCCACAAACTTCACATTTCAAACTAGATTTGAAATTGTTAAGGTTCAGAGTTACCCTGATTGGGGCCCTAGGTCAGGCCAATTTTTAGTCTGGTACCTAAACATACATACATTCATTATCCAGATAAGCAGCATTTGCACTTTCAAAACACAAATTAAATGCCCGGTCTCTGTAGTTTCTTTGTAAGTCACGAGAGAGAAACAGGTTCATTCGGAGAGCTATTTTAAGTGTCTAAATTAGTGCTTGATCTTGCAGAGAAAGCAAATATTAAAATAGGCTGTATTAGTATGCACACTGTAACTTCCTTGACAAATGTGTCAGATTGTGATTATGAAGGAATTGCCAAATACCAACAGCTCAGGAGACTAATGGATTTGAGTGTCTCTATATATAGCCTGTGGTCCAAGTTCAGATACCAAGCGCTGCTTTCCACTCTTGACTTCAGTGCCCTTAAATATAGAAAAAAAGGCAAGAAAGTAAGCAGAAAGAGAGAATGTAAAAGCAGCTCAGAAAGCAGTTCCAACAAAAAAAGCAATTAAACTCATTTGCTCGAGGTGCCTGTATCTTAGTGACCTATTTTAACAGCCGGTGAGAGCCCAGCTAATAAACTAACCGTAACAATTGCCTCTCCTTTCAACAGAAGGTGTCACCAGGGCCTTTAGGGAGAGTTGTGTCTGGCATACCAAAAAAGACAAATACGGCTATGTTTTATTATGGGGGCTTTGAAATAACACAGCTTTGGAACAGCGATATTCTGAAAAGAAATTGTATTCTTAAAAATAAATTGGCATGTAAGAATAAGATTTGTTTTGTGAAAGCAAGACTGGTGAGATAAAGGACTGAAATGAAAGGCATGACACTGAATTCTGTATTAGGAAATTTCTGAGGTGAAGTGTAATTCTGAAGTAAATGCATATTTAGAAAGCCGAGACTATACAGTCAGGAATATAGTATTTTCTGAAAGCTAATTTGTTACATGGCCAGCTCCATATCAGAAAACAGCCATCGCATCAGTGCAAACAAAAACTGCAGTAATGCCGGGGAATTTTTAAATGAATTTTTAGCAGCAGTTTTTCAAGGTATTAATCAATATTACCTTCAATTAGTTGTATTTTTCTAGAAGGCGTGAAAAAGAGAAGCCTGTCTTCCTAACACTGGTAAGGGAAAGGTTCAGCGTAAATATCTACTACACTGCAGCTTAGAAAGGGGACCTACTAGTTCTTAAATTCTTAGACCTTGGGCAAGTCTTTGAGCTCTAACTTGAGGATAGTCAGCTTTTCCAGCCATCATGAATTTCCTACCTTACTAAAAATCTCTGTGACCTGCAGGTATTCAGAGATTAGTATCAAGCCCAGATCACCTGAAAGTGAAGGCATTTTTTTAAAAATTTCCTCTGTCTTCTGCAAAAATAGATATTTCTCTCACATCATGTTACAGATATTAATTAGACACCTTCCATTCTCACTGATCTCCTTGCATATCAAATGAGCTAAAGTGGTGCACAGGTTTAAATGAAGTCTGACAATAGCCCATTGTTCATACAAGGCACTAAAAGTTTATTTTGGGGTGTATTTCTTTAGATCAGCCTATCATTTTGAAATTACATGTCTTGTGCATTTACCTGCATAAGAAGTGTCTGTCCATCAGGATTTCTGGTTCTCAGTGACTTTGCAGTGGTACAATTCACTAATTCTAATAAGTTTTCACTCATTTCCAAGAAACACAATTAAGACCAAAATTAAGACCATCTGCACTTAAAAATACTGCTTCTGAAGTGTGATGCTTTAGATGCTGCAGCATAGCATTGTTTTGGCTGTAGGGACAGAATCTATTAGAGATAAGAAATTATTCACATTCCCTATAAATCTCTCTCCTTTGCCTTTCTGGATGTTTTGTATCCTAAAGGTGATTTTGCCACCTAGTATACTCCTTTTTAAATGTCCATTTTATTCTACTAAAACCTGTGACAAGAGGATTATGCCTGCTCCCACTGTGATGTCTGTATTCATGGAAATTCTCATGGTATCATAGTAAATTTGCCTCAGTGAGATAGTGTTGTAACTTCATTAAAACAACTATAGATATTTGAAAGTTTTGGATATCCTTTTTTGTTCTGATCGTGATTACTTTAGCTTTTTTTCACAATATGGCAACTGAAATTTGGGAGTAGCAGTGCTAATCCCATTCTCAGTCTCAAAGATTCTGAAAAGAGATTTTTCTGGGGTGCTTGCTCAGCAAATTAGATTCTCTTTATTTTCTTTTAACAAAAAATATACAACACTCTCCTACCTAACATATTGATGCATTGTATCTTTGCATAAGCTTTCCTTTTAGTATTTTTTTAATTACTTTGTATTTTCTTAGAAATCAATACAAGACGAAAAACGGAAACCAAGAAAAGAAAGGTAATTTTTTTCATTATCTCACTATTGTCATTTTAGTACTCTAGAAATAGTTCTTAGCTGTACTTCAACCAGGAGAATAAAGCATTAAAAAAGCATGGTAATTTGGTGATTCACAGGAAGGGCATCATATACAAAGTTAAAATATGCAATTTTCAATGACAAAAATCCATTACAGAATTCAGTCGTTCAGTTTTACTACAGCATGGCCCTTTACCATGGCAACACAAGCATAATAATAAGTTAAGATAAGGTCCACATCAAAGATAGTTCTGACACAGAAAATAATTGAAGGTGCTTAAAATTCCAGTCAAAGCAAATGAGCAACCAGTTCTTTATTGTTAGCAAAAATACAAAGACTGTTAAAATTCTCTTCTAAAAATATATGACTGTTTGGAAATAGAGCATAAAAAATTAAAACAATAAGTATTAATAACAGTTAAAGAAGAGTAGCCCTTGAAATTTCAACCACAAGTCTTTTCTTCACAGTGTAACTAACTCTGCAGAAATAAAGAAAGCAACAGATATATTCTGCCCTTCTGTATCTTACATCCTTACGTGTGCTGTAGACCTGGTTCACAGCTCCTGGCTTTATTTTATTTGTGTTTCTCTACTTAAGCTTTTTTGCTGCTCCCCAGTGACATTGCTATGGTACTATAGCATGCATGCTATGGTAGCCTGGTCATAGATGCAAAATGAATGGGCTCTTAGCACTATCCTCAGCTGAGGTTGCAGAATACAAACTCGGTATCTAAAATATGTATCTAAAAGGAAGTTACGTGACATTATATGCACATAATATGTGCTCACAGCATCTACCTTCATTCAACAACAGTTTAAATTGCACTTGATTATGCCACTGCTTAAAGGATTCACTTAATGTCCATGTCTCCCGTGTCTGGTCTGTTACAGCTCTTCTTATGATGTCATTTGGATCCTGAAAAAATTTCACACCTATTGTTGTCTCCTGTTTAGCCAAAAAAAAAAAAAAAAAAAAAATCCAAATCTAGTGTCTTCTCTCATTTGGCCTCAGTTAGGTTTTACTCATCTTAAATCTAGTTAACCAGTTCCATGACTGCATCTTCTTTCATGTGCTGACTCTGTATTAGTAGAACATAGCAACTGAAATCAATGAGTTATTTCTGGTTTCTGCCAATGTGAGAATTGAATTCTGAACTTCTTTTTTCAGGTTGCTTCTAGGATATTATTTTTTCCCTAGCCATTCTAAACTGGATGTTGGGATTGTTTTTTTCTGTACATATGATACTCTGGATAGCATTCATCTAACAAAATAAGAGACATCTGCATTATTGACACCGGTATCTGAACTAGTTGCTTTACACTCTCTTCTTATACTCAGAGAAAAAAATAGTCATCTTTAGGAAAATGATTCATGTCTTCCTCAAAGAGGTATCTAAAATAGGTCAGATGAATTATATCATAAAAATGCCTCTCCGTTGAATATAATGGCAAATCCAAACAATTTCAGTCATATATATCTGCTTTATGAACATCTAAAAGTATTTAGCATTTCACAATTCTCAATATCTGCATCATACAGCAGTCACATTTCAGAGACTGATTTCTTGTGCTTATATGTATTTTTCCTTAGATCATCAACACATAAACACAACTAAAAATGATATTTGGTTGCCTTATTTTTAAATATTGAATATAATATTGAAAAGTGAAACAGTTAACTTAGTGTACTTATTTATTGACAGTCTGAGCAAAGTGCTAGATTTAGATATCTACTATCAAGAAATTTCATCTACTGATTCCACCTCAAAGGACAGCAGTTCTACCACAAGAAAGAAGAGACACCCAGCTGAGCGCAGGACTTCAATTTTAAGAGCTACTGAGCGGTAATTCATACAAAATAATAATAGGAAAAAATAAATGTTGTATATCCTTGCTGAGATATTCAAAAGATCCATAAAAAGAAAGATAAACTTTCAAATTAGACATAAATTTTTTTATTCATGGAATCTTGCCAAATTAACTTGTAAAACATATAGCTGAAAATTTCCCATCTTTATGCAGCAGGGACAAATGCTAGTATGATTGGTGCTCAGCCTACCTGCTAGTTTTTGGCTTCCTGAGTGCCAGATACAATGGTCAGACATCCTGCTGTAAATCTCTGATCTAAAATCAAATTAAACTAGCACAGAACCTAAAAATTTCTGATCAGTTAAGTTTTAAATAGGGTGGATGTGCACCAAACTTTCTGCCTGCTTTCTGCAGTTAAGACACCAGCCTGACTACCTCCTTTTCCTGCTGTCCTGTAGCAGCATATGTGTTTATAGCCTGTGGTGGACCCCACCCAGGTGGACAGCCAGGAGAAAAACCCAAAAGGAGGGCTTGCTCAACCTCCTCTCTTCCCACATAGACTTCATAGAGGGTGACCTCTGCTGGGCTAAAGAAATTCATATTCTCACTCTTGCCAATTCACCCACACACACTGCATGTGCAAACATATATTTATATATCTTTATATATTTGTATCTTCTTGTGTCTTCATATATGTAAGAAGAACTTGGAAAATGTCTAGGTCAAAGGCTTAAGGAAAACACTAAGTCTGGGATGATTGCTGAATTTGAAAATGTATCCACAGTAGTAAAGAAAGGCTTGTAGTATGTAGAATGCCCCTTACGTATGTTATTTTTGGCATTTTTTCAGGTAGGATCTAAATTAGTTTTAGGAAGGTGTTGTGAAAGCATGGAATTAGAAATAATTATATCAGGGAGTTACCATACCTTTTACATCCCTTGGAAAAAGGTGCTTTTCTAGGGCTGTTAATTACACCAAATCTTTCACCCTGAGGTCTGGTTTAGATGAATGAGAATCTTGCCACTGAGCTCACTAAAAGGAATTCCTTACCTTTTACTGTGTGCTGCTCTGATTGCATCCTAATTAGCCATAGTGAAAAAAATCTGTGTAACTTTTAAATTTACACTGTTACCTCTGAGAGCAGATGAATGCAATTAATAAACATTTCTGCACTTCAGTATCTCTTGAATGGGGTCACCTGGATCTAAGGACTATACAGTCATTTCAACCTATAGAAGTGAATTTGGCAGTTTACCTTCGACGCTGGTGTAGGACCAATGGTCGGGTACACCTTTAATGTAGAACACTACAAATTTTTGTAGTTATTTCAGAGTAATATACTCTTTGAATAACTGAGTTTTATTTTTAATCTTGCTCCATGGTAACACCTGGTGGCAGGTCACCATTCCAGCCTGTCAGAGGTAGTTTCCAAAATGCAGCTTGCCATCTGAAAAAAAAATAAAATGAGATGGACACTTAGTGAGCCCCACAGGCAGGTTAAAAACAGAGCAAACAAATTTACGCCAACTGAAAATCTGGTTCAGTAACCATCAGGCAAACGCTACTGCAAAGCACCCCCACCTTCTCAATGGTTTTATGTCCTTTTATTATGTCTCCTTCGTAGAAGAACACGTTGGTTTTCTGTGTTCATCTGCTCTTAGTATATAACGTGTTTGTTCCGAGGTGCCTGCTTTATGCAGCACAGGAAGAGGCCTAGCAAAGTCAGTTGATTTTTTTTCTTTCTCCTTTTATTTTTTTCCTCGAGGGTGGAGGTTAAGCAGTCGATTAGGAGCGTTTGCCAAGGTAAATGTTTTGACTTTAATTTCTGAAACACTTCTGCGCTTAATCCCTAGGTCGAGGGTTGCAGAAAGCCCCCTGGAAGAGAGTAAAACCGAAGATAATCCCTATGACTACAGACGACTGCTGCGGAAGACCTCACAGCGCCGGCGCCTTATCCAGCAGTTCTAGCTGCTGCTGCTGTTCCTGCTGCCATTTGGCTTTTATTAGCATAATCTTTTTTATCATTTTATACCATGTGCTTCCTTTTTTTTTTTTAAATATCCAATGTTTCAAGTTTACAACGTGTGTGTTCATGTGAATATGAATTACTGTGGTTTACAGCCCAACACCGTTGCAAAGGGACACTGTCAGTCACATATCATATACTTTAAAAAACCCTAATATAAAAATCAGCTTTCTTTCGGATACCACTGCTATGTCTTAAAATTATTAGATGTTAAGCAGCTTAAATCTAGTTTACTTTCCTCAACGTGTATTTCTTTCTTTTTTGCATTTCATCAGTCTCATCCAATTAAAATAGATCATTTAGTTTACAGTTCCCTAGTTAAGCTTTCAAATTCCCATATGCACCTTCAAAAAACCTTAGTTATTGTTTCTAATGTATTGTTTTACAGGAAAAAAAATTACAAGAACACAGTAGGGGAATTTCTGCTCATTTTAGGTTTACACTGCCTAAATTTTGGGATGAACTGTATATGGCAAGTGTCCCTCTAATAAATCTAAATGATTAATTGGATAGCATACTATGGCAGTTTATTTCATTATTGACTTTACTGTAAAGCTAGTAGCCAGTTTTAAAGATCAATATTGTGTGTATAATCTTTATGTTGGTGATGTCCATTTATGGGAAGCCTATCCAGCCCTCTCCTCTGCCTCTGAGCTTTGTGACTAAGTGATGAACTTTTAAATCGTGTTTGCTTTGTTCTCCTTTGCATTAGATTTTTAGGAATCTTAATCTCTGGGGTGCCAAGGAAGGAATAGAAATACACTCTCTGATTGATTGCTGCCTAAATGTAATGATCATTCTTAATCAGTTCCACTAGAAATTAAGTGGAAATAAAAGCAATAGCCACTGTGTTCAAAATTTCCCCTGATTCTTTATTCAAAAGACCTTATTTCACAGAAACCACACAGATAATTGCTGCGCTTCCTTTCAGGATTCATAATTGTGTGTTCCCAGCTGCAAAGCGAGAGAAGGCAAATTTCATCATGCCAGTATAAAGGCCTGATCCTGCTCCCTTGCTTAGCTCTCTTAAATACTAAGTACGACGAGCGGGCGCGGCGGGGAGCCACAGGGGTTGGGTTTTTGTCTGTTCCCCCCACACACTTGGCCCTTTCCCCAGAGACAGGTAACCATTGCTTCCTGATCTGTAACTCGTTATAAGGCTGTGCACTGGATTAAAATCTACTGCAATGTAAAATTTGCGATAAATTGTTTAAATTTTGAAATCAGTTTTAAAGTTGCTTTCTCATGTATTATTAAAACCGTAAAGTAAATAAAAATGCACAAAGCAGTGATACGGTTGGCTGTGTCTGAATTACACCCAGAACTGACGAAACACTGTGGACTGGGGCATGAGTAAGCAAGGCGGGGAAGAGCTCACAGCAGCCTCTCGCCATGGAAAACCTGAGTTATCGTCTACGCTTCCTTAAAGCCAATGTGATCTGGAAACTGGAACAGACCTGTAATTTCAGAGATGCCTGGGCTGGTTTTCTTTTACTTTCTCACTAGGGCAGCGTTGAAAAACATCAAGACGATTCCCTGAGATTTCG